GTTGAATAGTCACAGTTTTTGTTGTTGGAAAAAGGTAGCTTTAATGAATAAGTTCTTGGTCTTGCCTAATTGTATATGTGATTTCTGGTGTCATTTCTTATCAATGTGGCCATATTTTCCAACTATTGATCCTTCCTATTTCCAACTTTCATATTCCAATACCAAGAATTATAAATACATCATTAATGCATGTTTGATCATTTCAGACTGAAGCTGGTACAAATCTTAAATATCTTCATCTTTGGCATTATTGGTTGGTGTATAAATCTGAATGTAATCATCATATTAACTGGTCTTCGTTGTAGACATGTGGGCATTATCCTCTCACTGACAGCATGTACTCATAATGGATCTTGGAATGCTTTTTTTTACAATGTAAGCATTTCTTTCAATTTGTCATTCCTGGCATACTAGACCATATGATTGTCTAATTCAAAATGGTCAATACCAGTCCATTTTCAGTTCACTAAAGTCTAGGATATTGATCTTTATGCATGTCATTTCATTTTTGATGATTTCCAATGTTCCTAGACACTTTTCACATTCTATGTTCTGATTATTAATGGTTGTTTCTTTCCATATTGAGTCATACTACACGAGCACATGAAGGTCCTGAAAACTTTACTTCATCCACATCATTAAGGCTGCCTCTCCTTTGAGGAGGCAGCTCTTCCCCAGTTAGATTTTAAGTGCCTTCCAAGCTGAAGAGCTCATCTGGCACCATATCAGATAATGTTCCACTGCTTTTTATAAGGTCTTGTTTCTATTGTTAGGTGCCATCAAGGTGGTTCTAACTCATAGTTACCCTGCCTGGTCCTGCACCATCATCAAAATTACTGATGTTGTTAAGTACCGTGGAGTCGGTTCTGACTCATGGTGACCCTGCACAGGGTTTCTGAGGATGCACATCTTTATGGGAGCAGAAAGCCTCATCTTTCTCCAGGGGAATAGCTGGTAGTTTTGAACTGTCGACCTTGAGGTTAGCAGTCCGATTCGTAACCACTGCGCTACCAGAGCTCCTTAAAATTATTGATAGCTGTTGCTAAGTCTTGCTAATAACTATCATTAGCAGTAATACTTCAGCTATGTCTTTAACTTATGTTTTTATTATATGTAATTTTTCAAAAGGTATAATGAACTACAGAATTTTATATCAAATACTGTTGTGGTTATTCACTTTGATCTGTTAAATATTCTCTATTTCTGTGTAGGACTCTAAATGTATTATCTTTTGTGCATTAGTAAATCCTGTCTTTTATATTCAAATGCTGTTGCTGTTGGTAAGTGCCATTGAGTTGACTTCGATTCACAGCATCCCTGTACAGGGTTTTTGAAAAGCAGCTGGTTTCTGTGGGTTTCAACTCCCAACGTTGTGGACAGTAGTCCAGTGCTTAACCTACAACATCTCACCAGGACCCCATTTAAATAATAAACTTTAAAAAGCCTAAAAAGAAATTCCTTCAATAAGGTTAGAAAATTTAAAAATGAATGGTCAGTTTATCATTCTGAGTGATAGACTGTTGACCTCTGAATCTTTTGTAAGATTATTTGGAATCAGAACCTTCTGAAATATGTATGCATTTTTCACATAGAAGCTATTTAAAAATTTTTTTTGGTTATAGTTTCATTATAATTCATACTACACTGGCAGGTCTCAAGGTACAAGGAGTTTGTTTAAAACAGGTACTCTTGGATTTCTATCAGATACACCCATCCTAGGAAATCAAAATAGAGCATTGAGGTCACAGTAGTCATTTATAGCCAAAAATTTTCAAAACTGTGTTACTTGCAGGTGGCTTCCTAGTTTCCTTTTGGTAATAAGTATGCATGTGCACATGTGTGTTTAGGTGCCACACATATAAAAAGAATAAAATATCCAAAGATAAACAGTAGAAACAATTTAACTATTCTTGAAAGAATGCCTTTAGTCCAAATCGAACATCAAACCAAGAATTTCTTCATTTTTTCCACATTGTATTCAGTGATGTCAGACTTTTTAAGAAACACACTTTTTGGAAGAGTTTGTTGTTGTTGTTACAGACTCATAGCCACCCTGTACAGGGTTTCCGGGGCTGTAAATCTTTAGAGGAGCAGAAAGCCTCATCTTTCTCCCGTGGAACAGCTGGTAGTTTTGAACTGCCGACCTTGTGATTCTCAGCCCGATTCGTAACTACTATGCTACCAGAACTCCTTTTTGGAAGAGACAATGACACAAACCTTGATAGTTCCCAGAGATTTCATCTGCGCCCCTCACATTTCAAACAATCATTTTAATATGCACCCCTCTGCCTACCACAAGCTAGAAATTTACATTTTAGTAGTCTTCACCTGAAATTAAATGTTTTTGTTAATTCCACAGTGAAAGGACTACCATGAAGGGAAATTCACAGCTTGACTCAGGCACATGCACTGGCTTTTCAGAGGTCCAAATTTCCTTTATATACCCACTATTAGTGTTATGTGCCCTTGAGTCTGTTCTGATGTATAGCGGATTTTTATAATGTTTCCAAGGTGTGGCTGGTTGGTTTGAACTGCCAACCTTGCTGTTAGTAGTCCAATACTTTGCCTTGCTGTTTGTTGTTAAGTGCTGTCAAGTCGATTCCAACCCTTAGCAACCCTGTATAGGGTTTCCAAGGACCAACTGATGAGCTTGAACCATCGACCTTGTAGTTCAAACAGCTTTGCAGTCTGGCACATTAACCACAGCGCCACATCCTTAGGAGGGCCTTTTTATGTGTGGTGCTGTAGGAAAAGCACTGGCCTAGTAACTTCAAGGTACGTGATTCAAATCCACCAGCCACTTTCAGAAACCCTATACAGAGTCACTATGAGTTGGGAACCCACTTGACAGCACTTAACAAAAGCAACAACAACATTATCTAGGAATGGTCTGGAAAATCCAGTACCTTTCCCAAGAAAAAGACTTGAATCTGGATTCCTGCAAAACGTAGGTGGTTACAAACTGGGCTGCTAACTTCATGGTCAGCAGTTCAAATCTACCAGCTGCTCCATGATAGAAAGATGAGGCATTGTATTCCCATTAAGATTTACAGCCTTGGCAGCCCTATACAGGGTTGCTATGATTTGGAACTGATCGGCGGCACACCACTACCACCACCAGGTTGAGTTCTGGTGATTTTAATTTAGCCTGTCAAAGAGCAGACATATGTGCCTTAATGGCAATGGTGGGTGGCTGCTGGTGAAGGCAGAATGTCAGAACTGGTGCTTGGATGGCAACTGTCATTTAGCATCAAGCACTACTAGATCTGAAGTATATGTGGGATTCCACTACCACTGACCGTTGTAAGGGTATTCTGGATCCTCCACACATTCTAGATCTATGAACATAAGTGAGATCATCTGTTATTTACACAATTGGGATCAACATCTGTGCTTTCATTGGATTTCAGAAAACACTGAAGATAAATTAAACCATCCTCACAGTCTATAAGAAAGTTGACCATATGCCATGCTTTAAGTCACCAGATCATAGATGTAGAGTTGAGCACTGTGTGCCATTACTGGTATACAATGGAATATTCCAGAAGAACTCAATTATTACATCTTTTATGAACATATACAGTGATTTCTATGAGTGAGTGTTTGAGGAAAGAAGGGAAAGTTAATCTATTGATTAATTTCATAAAATATTCAATGCTTTTAAAATTCAAGGAACATTTCTATAAATTTCTCTATAATCCAATTGTGCCAAGACTTAGGGTGCTATGAAAAAATTTCAAAACAGAGTCTCAAACAAAATAACAAAATAACTCTAGCTCTGTGGATCTCACAGTTCATTGCTGAAATAGGTCCGTACACAAATCATTAAAAACACTTTATGCATCAAGCTCCATTTGATGGGTTTTACATATCTTAACTAAATCTAAACCTTAGAAGAACTCTATTAGCTAGATGCTATCTCTATTTTATACATAAAGCAAGAGAAATAAATGGGTTAAGTTATTTATTCAAATTCAAAGTCACAAACTAGTAAGTAGCACAATCAATCGAACCCCAAGTTGACTGGAGCAAGAATACAAACTATCTACTACCTACAGCTGTTGAAGAATAAGAGAGTGCTCTTAAAAACAGAGCAGACAGTAAAGGTGGTACATGAACTGAGTCTTGAAAATAAGGAGGATAATGGCAGAAGGCCTTTGGAAAAAGATCATTCCAAGGAGAGGCAACAACAGGGGAAAAATGTTGAGCATGGTCCAGAGATGATAAGCCGATGAGTGTGACTGTAATGCATGGTGGAGAAACAGAAAGACTGGAAGAACAGGCTATAACCAGACTGTGAAAACCTGGAATGCCAGGCTAACGAATGTGGACATTTTTTCTTTGCCTTTTTTTTTTTTTTAATGCATTGAGATGTCCTAGAAAGCATTTGCTAAGTAAAATTATATAAAATTCTAAGTGAAATCATATAGAATTATACTCGTAGGGATGCAGAAATTAAAAAAGGCAAGTGTGACGGGAAAACCAGAAACCAAGGGACTAATTTTCTGGTCCATTCCCCTTTCCCTCCTCCTAAGTATTGTTTGGAGAGAGGCAAGACACTATCCCCATTATGAAAAGTAAGTACTGTATTCTAGCACAGCAGACAGTTTTCATCTTGCAAGCTGGCTCCCAAGTGATGTTCTGCATCCAGCTTCAGGTAACAACGTTTTAATCCCCTGGCAATATCTGCCAGGGAAAGGGGCATGCTGGCATGACTTTAAACATGATCATGATGGCTGCATAACTGAGCCTTCTTCATTTCTCCCAAAGTCTACTTTCTATGAAGTCCAACTATCCATAACCTCTAGACTACTTATGCCTTCTACCATTCAAAAAGATCATTGAATTCTACTCTCTGTCCTTTTTGTGTGCCTCCAGTTCTGCACACATTCATAATCTGTTTCAGAGAAATGGAGTTTGTTTAGACGATTCAGTCAGTGAGAATACTGAGAACTAAGGAAAGGTACATGACACAGGATCTACCATCCTGGAACACTTACTTTTTTTGCTCCTTGTTCTTCCTCCACACCATCTCCTATCACAACATACACCACTTTCCTTCCAAACCTTTGAATTATCCTTTCAAAACAGCTTTCCTTTCCTAATGAATAAAAATAAATGATAAAAGATCATAAATGTAGTTTAGGTAATCCACTTTTATAACAGAGGAATTAGTTTTTTTTAAAAAATGTTTGCTTCTTGATTGCATGGAGGGGATTGTAACCATGGCAATGAGACGATGTACAATAGAATGAATGTAAAACTAATGAATGTAAAACTAATGTTCTCCCATGTAAACTATCACATAATTCACAATAAAACATTTAAGGAAAAAAAAAAATGTTTGCTTCTTGCTTCTGATTCAACTCGTCTCCATTTGTGCAAACTAGCAGAAGATTTTTTTTTTTTTTTTAATGTCATTAGGGTACTGTGTGGAGTCCTGATGTGCTGCTATAGTTAGTATAAGCACTGGACTGCTAACCACAAGGTCAGCATTTCAAACCCACCAGCCACTCCTTGGAAACCCTATGCAGGATTGCTGTGAGTCAGAACAAACTTGAGTGCACTTAGCAACAACAAGGTACTATGCAGACTGGCATAATAAATTTTAAAAACTATAAATTAATTAGCAAGTGGTTTTTGTCCTTGTAAATTAAAAGTTGCAGTGCTCTTTTCTCAAAATTCATTTATTAAGTCAATTCAATATAGCAGTTGGGTGGGGGAGAAGTATTATTTGCAATAACCTTTGACACACACACCCATCCCATCCACCTCCCCAAAAGCTGTGCCTAAACAAAGCCATGCCATTTTTACAACAAATTTCAGCTTGATTTAAAAAATGTCTAATATATCAAACTCTGAAAATAAAACCTGAGTCAAAGACTATTGGGAATGATGAAAAGAAGTAACTGGATTTAGATTTGTTACAGCAAGAGAAAACAAAACTGGAATGAATTTATCTCTTTGTTTCCAGGTTAGGATTCTATTTGAATTAAAGTCCCCCAGCTGAATGTGTTTACCTGAAATATTCTCATAAAACAGCTTCTGCAATAAATATCTTGTGATTTGGGTTACTATTGAGAGACCAGGCCTGACTTACCCAGGCATCATCTACTGTTCAATGAAACCCCTTCCTAAAGGAACACCAGGATACAGGTAACAGAACACCTGTATCTGTCTGTTCCCTTTCCCGTGTCATGGCTTAGTTTGGGCTCCTGTGGTGGATACACTGTCAGCACATCACGGCAGTTAATGCAGCCATTGTCTTTTCTTAGAGAAGAGACTGGTGTTCCAAGTCCTGGGTTGCCAATAGGGTCATTTTAATGGACAATGGGACAGTTTTTAGTTTTCAAATGTGAATGGCTGAGCTAGGGCTGCATGTCTTTCATCAGATATACACATGAACAAATTGCTTGTTTGCTTAAACAAATGTCTGCTTTATATTTGTATTTTGCACTAAAATCTCTAGTTTGCATCTGACAGAATGAAATAGGGCCAGCCTTATTCAAAGGATGCAATTTCAATGCTTCTTTAGTTGCCCACTAAACTGTGAAATATTAAATCACTTTCCCAAAACAAATATATAGTTTGCACTGCAAAAAATACACAACCCAAAACTTAGATCCCATGAAACTGCTTTTGTCTCCTTTATAGAGAAATGTGTAGGTATTTTAGCAAAGTTTTGTTTTCCTAAACAAAAAATGGAAGGTAAATTCAATGATAATTTAAAGGTATAGCTGTTTTGGACCCTCCCGCCCCCCCAAAAAAAAAGTTTCATTGTGACTTTTGCGTCATGTAGAAATCTTCCACAACTGAGGATTAGAAAAATGAAACTGATACTTAAAAGTTATTGTGGAATCTTATATATAAACATTTCATTTTAATGAATCCATTTTGTCTGGAAAAGCATATATATATTGTTATTGTTAAGTGCTATGGAGTCAGTACTGACTCACAGTGACCCTGTCTAGGGTTTCTGAGGAGCAGCTGGTGAACCTGCAGTTCAGTGCTTATCCTACATCGCCATACACATGATTCTGCCTAATGGTATACAATCATCTCCAACTTTTCAGCATGCACAGTATATGTACAGTAAAAATTCTAGTATTTTCTTCATGGATCCCCATATATATATATATATCATTTGATGGCAAAATTATCAATAACTATAGAAGCTTTAATCTCTACTTTTCTTATTAAAACTACCATAAAATAAGTTTCTATCAGTAGTGTTGAAAGCATTTCAACTAGCACACATTTCAATTCTATAGTGAAAAAATAAAGTCCAATGGTACAAAAAAATGGCCAGCACAAATACTTAAGTTTCAGAATTGTAATTGTAATCTCTTAACCAGGGTACAGCTCTTATCTATAAAATACAATATAATTCCTTTCTGTCAAAAGATATTAAAATAGGATTGAACACCTGACCTAATGTAAACTGAATGCTACTTTTATGGAATGGGAGGGTATATGAAATTCTGGGCATAACGGGCTACTAGAAAATTCTATTCTATTTGGTAAAACAAGGACACAGTGTCATCAAGTTGATTCTGACTCATAGCAACCCCACACGTTTGTGTCAGAGTAGAACTATGCTCCATAAGGTTTTCAATTTTTCAGAAGTAGACTGCTAGACCTTTCTTTCAAGGTACCTCTGGGTGAACTGAACCTTCCTCCTCTAAGTAAGCAGTGGAGTACCAATTTGTACCATCCATGGATTCCATTTGGTATATGCCTCTCTTGTTGGAAATAGTTCCTTTATTCTGCTCTTAGACTCTTCTTGTGAGGGATCAGTCATTCTCATCTCCATATACATAGTTTCAGATTGAGATGTCTGTGTAAACACCCCATAGGCCCTTCAGACTCAGCAGTTATGAGATCAAATCCTTATCTTTCCCACCAAACCTGACCCCTCATCAATTCTTTGCATCACTGCTGACTCAACTGAGCTTGCCTTCTTCTGCATCAACATCAGTTTACTCTTAGATTTCATTCAACAAATATTCACTGAGCACCTACTATGTGCCGGGCAATGGGGAGCAAGATAGACACACTCTGTCTTCAGGATATTAGTCTAGTGAATGAGTCAGGTTATGAGCAACTCATAGTTAACTATAAAGGAGTTTTGTAACCATCATTAGTTAAGTGCTTTGAAGAAAAAGTACAGGAAGCATAAACCTGTAGCCAGATTGAGAGTCAGACCTACAAGCTTTCTGTTCTTGCCACTCTTTTATCAGATGGAGCTAAGCAGTCATAAAAATCACCTCCCACTTATAAGGATGCCATTTCCCTTCCTGTGGACTTCAAACATGAGACTCAGTTCCTTAATGTAACATACAAGGCCTTTTACGACTCCTCCCAATTCTACTTTGGCAGACTTGAACTCTGCACACTAGCCATCCAGGATTGCTCATAGGTATCTCAGCAGGAAACATCTTAATGTCTCTGTGTCTTTATTCACACTACTATAGCTGCCTGGGAAGCTCTAATTTACTCTTTGGTACCCAGCTCAAATATCACTTCTTCTCTTGAATTTTCACTGCCTTTTGCCCTTTGCTTCACACTGGGAGAAAATGTACATTCAAACACTTAGTAGTAAGAAATGGAAAGGAATCTGGACTTAGGAATTGGATCAACCTAGTCTGACCTCTGGCTTTACTAGGTATTTACTTGAACAATTTATTTAAGTCTTTATGTCTTTATTTCCTCATCTGTAAAATTGAAGTGTTGCAAATATTGACTACAATATGTAAAATGCTCATAGTTCTGGGTATCTAGCAGATGCCTGTGGAGTGTGGTGGCTCTGTACAATAAGCAATGGATTGCAAACCACAGGGTTCGTGGTTCAAGTGCACCAGCTGCTCCACAGGAAAAAGATGAGGTTTTCTGCTGCCACAAACATTTACAGCCTTAGAACCCTATATTAGGTTCCTTTGAGTCAAAACCAACTCATTGCCATCTAACAACAAAAAATATATACCTGATAAATGCTCATTTACATACCTCATTATTATATTGTTGTTAAGTGCTATCCAGTCTGTTCAGACTCACAGTAACCCTGTATAGGGTTTCTGAGGAGCAGCTCGTGGGTTTGAACTACCAACCTTGTGGTTAGCAGTTCAGTGCTTATCCTACAGTGCCACACACCAGGACTCCTTTATTAAGTAGAATTATTTATAAACCATCTTTCCCTGCTAGACAATTAATTCATTAGCAGCAAGACCCTATTCTTTATTCTCATAGTTAAGGTATACTGTGCCTAGATACATATAACTCTAAACTATAAAAAACCAATTCAACACTGAATGTGTGACTAAATAGGTGATTTTTCTACAAAACATCAAGCACCTATTTTCCGTGCCCCATTTCTTTAAAATAATTTAGTGATCTTTAACTTTGGCTGTGTATGAGACTCACCTGGGGAGTTTTTAAGAGCCGATGCCTAGGCTAAACACCTGACTCATTAAATCAGTACATCTTCGGGAGCAACCCTGACTTGAGCTTTTTTTGGTTGTTTATTTGTTTTCACACTCTACAGAGATTCTAATATGCAGTCAAGGTTGAGAATCATTGATGTATCAAGTTCATAGGCTGTGTCAGCCAGCTAAGTCAACGTGTGGTCTGGCTTTGAACCCTACAGCCTTAGAGCTGCAGACTCTTGGGCTCCACTCTAGTTTTCTAAATCAGAATCTGCCATTTTCATAAGACCCTCCAGGATTTTTATGCCATTACAGTTTGAGAAGCACTGACTTGACCACTGCTCAGGAATATAATTTATTAAGTCTGTCTTGGCTGACAAAAATTTAAAAGGTTACTTAACAAAAAGAGGATATATAAAATCAATAAATACTTTGAAAAATTTTCAAAGAAAGCTTTCTCCACTCTTATTGTTATCATTCCAAACCAGCTCACACACTGCACATCAAAACTGGTGTGTGATTGCTCAAACATTCACACTTTAAAAAAGCTTTGCTTTATATTTTGTCCTGATGAACTTCCCAAGCCAAAGCTACCTTCAAAATCTCCCTAACTCCAAAGACTTCATCAGTTACCTCCTATTACTGATCCGAAAGTTTGATTGTTGACCCTCGCAGAATCCCTGAGTAGTTATGAATGGTAAAATGTCTTGACTTCTTACCTAAAGGTTGAAGGCTTGAGAACCCTAGTAGAAAGGTCTGCCAATCTGAACGATTAGCCATTGAAAATCCTATGGAGTACAGGTCTACTCTGACACACATAGGGTCACCATGAGCTGGAATTCACTCAATGACAGCTGGTTAACTGGTTTCTAGACCCTCACATGACTCTGTAGCACCACACTTTCAAGTTCTGAACTTGTTCTGTCTTGGTTTATAGTCTAACTTAATGTCTTATTAGTCCTTATCCCCCTATTATATTTCTCTCTTCTGAGGAGCTACATTTGTGGAATCCTCATAACAAAACAGGAGGTCAGCTGTTTATATAAGGGGGCTTCAAACTGTTCATGAAAAATTAAACGGTGTTTTCCTTCAGTTCTTTCCATTATTTTTGAAACCTCCTCATACATGTTAATTAAGCAACAATAGAAAAACAGTTCTGTAATGATAAAGAATTCTGCTATTAGAGTTGTTTTATTTCCATTTAGTGCAGATCTAGGAGTCCTGGTGTGGTGCTGTGGGTTAAAGAGTCCGACTGCAAAGTCATTTGAATTGCAAGGTCAGAGGTTTAAGCTCTCCAGCTGCTCCTTGGAAACCCTATATAGGGTCGCTATGGGTCAGAATCGACTCGACAGCACTTAACAACAACAACAAGTATAAAACAAGCCTATAAAATAGGATATATTTTTGTCAATATTCCTTAAAACAATAAAGTAATTCAAAATTGTTGCTAAGTTGACTATAGCTTAAATGCTATTAGCTAGTAGAGTAAAATTCTATGAGAAAACAACTTAAGACACATGGATTATGCTTAGTATTTCTCTGGATGTTGAAAGTCAATTTTGAAAATAAATTGGTTGGATGATCTTTCTAGTTTTCCAATTTATTTACATCTAGAAACAAGTCTCTTTACTGACTCTTATTTTTATTAGCTTGAGAGTGGGGCTAAATGTAAACACAAAAAGAGGAAGAAACAGAGAAGCAGTAGCTTACCTATTTTAGTTGCACTGTAAATATTTTCTATTGGAAATACAATTCCTAATCCATATAGCAGAACTTTTGCCAATGCTGGGATGAGCTGAGTAGTCGTTACTAAAATATTCACACAGTTTGTTCTAGGAGAACAGAAAGAAAAGAGAAGAGAAAGTTGAAAAATAAAATCTCCACATGGAAAGAACATGATCAGGTGCACTGCCCAGCAGTGGCATGCTGGCTGCAATTGGGAATCCTCACCGGGAGTGAATGAGTGTGAGCGCCTTCAGAGCCAGGGTCAACCAGGAGTCCGTTAGGGCTTCGATCTCTGCCCTCAGCTGCAACCAGGCTTCTCTTTTGGCGGGACCTAGCAGACCTGTGGATTTACGAGAACGTGGTGAACTACTTCCCAACCAACATTATCTCTTCAACTCTATAACTAACACACAATGAAGACTACTGCTAATTAACACCTTCAAGCTTCAAAGCATTCTGCTGTTGTTAAGTGGCATCCAGGTGCTTCTGACTCATAGTGACCCAGTATAGGGTTTCCAAGAAGTGACTGGTGTGTTTGACCCGCCGACCCTGTGGTTCAAACTGACACTGCGGTCCTGCGTTTATCCTACAGCAGCATCCCAGGCCTCCTCAAAGTAGGACTTCAAAAAGTCGTGGATAAATGGAATTAAACACTAATGGAATAGCTCCACACACTTTTTGAAGTCTCCTTGTATACAAAATAATCTCTCATCTATTATCATTCTTCTGACAAATATTCACTTACTATGATTAAAAGAAAAACAACAGCAAAGAACAGTTGCCGCTGAGTTGATATTGGCTCATGGTGACCCCATGTGTGTCAGAGTACAACTGTGATCCATAGGGTCGTCAGTGGTTGAGTTTTGAAAAACATACTGCAGGCCTTTAGTTCCATGATGTCTCTCTCTGGAGGGACCCCGACCCCCTAGCAGCCAAGCACAGTACCAGTTACATCATTCAGAGATGCCATTTGGTACTGTTGTAGTGGTTAAGTGCTGTCGAGTTAGTTCCAACTCATAGCTACCCTGTACAGGGTTTCTAAGGAGCAACTGATGGGTCTGAACTGCTAACCTTGTGGCTCAAAGTCTTGTGCTGATCCTACAGCGCCAGAACATCTATTTTTGCATTCCTAACATCCCCTCTTCTGGAGTCCTGGTGTGGTGCTAAGGGCTAATGCACCAGACTGCAAAGACGTTTGAACTGTAAGGTCGGCAGTTCAAGCTCACCAGCCGCTCCTCAGAAGCCCTATACAGGGTCGCTATGGGTCGGAACCGACTTGATGGCACGTCACAACAACAACATCCCCCTTGTTGTTATTCTTCCCCATTGCTACAAATCACGTACTCTGGACAGATCCAACCTCCTCCCATAGCTTCCCAGAGTCAGGGTGGGCATATGACCTTTTTGGGCCAGTGAAAGCCATCTTGGAATGTTTGTTGACTATATTGCGACAGCTTTTTTGTCCCTTACCTATGGTGCTTAAAGGAACCCTGGTGGTACAGTGGTTAAGCATTCTGCTGCTAACTGAAAGGCTGGGCAGTTTACCAGCCACCCCATGGGAGAAAGATATGGTGCCTGCTTAAACAAAGATTTATAGCTTTGGAAACCTTACAGAGCTGTTTCACTCTGTCCTGCAGGACCATCAAGAGCTGGGCAAAACAACAATGGTGGATAGTATGGTACATTGTTAAATGTATAGATGATCAAACAAGCTATTGTTGGTAATCTGCCACCTTTTGGGAGGGTAAGACCTATAATGACTCCTACCCAAAGGAAAGCATAGGCAAGAGATTACTGGTGGTATCTATCAATTGAGCATCTGGATTTAGTCATGCCTGAAAGCAGCATCAGTCCTGAAAGTAACACCACACAAAAACTTCTCATTATTAAGTCAATAAACTCCCTTTTATGGGAAATCCATTTGAATGCCAGTCAAACGAGGCCTAACTAACTCAACCACGAATCCAGTAGAAGGATCTTTATAACCCATCTGGTAGCTTAGGCATGGGTTGTTTATCCCACTTCATCTTTAGGACAACTGAATGTTAGAAAGGTCAAGAAACATACTCAAGGTCACATATTACTATTATGTAATGGAGCCGGGGATAGACTAGACTAGCCAGGGCAACTGGCTCTCATGTGATATTTCAGTCAGTAAATCACACCATGTTTTGTTCTGTTGTGCATTGGGTTGTTATGAATCAGTACTGACTCAATGGTACCTAACAAGAACAACAACAATCACACTGTTAAACGAAACTGATCTAGAAAAGCTGTTATAGTCAATCAAGTGTGAAACAAGTGTGTAGTCCTTTGAGACTTTTCTCTAGACTGGTTTGACCAGTCCATTAAGGTGTTGGGTGTGATAGTCACTTGCCTCCAACATTGTTTTTGTAGGTGTTGTAGATCTCTTTTACTCGTCTGTATCGGAAGGCCAACTTTCTCATCCAGTCCACACCGCCTCGCACACCAGTTGCTAAGCATAAATTAGCACTGGTTGCTGCAGCTGGAAAGCCATCTGTTCCAAAGTTATACGTGCTATTTAGATGCAAGAAAAGCCCAAAGTTAACCAATCAGAAAGTTCATTGTAATTAGCTGAGCATTTAAATGCTAAAATGGGGGCAACAACAGTGGCTCACCTTAGGTCTTGTCCATTGTCGTCTGAAGAGACATCATCTATATGAACTTGGTCACATTCCTAAAATGGAATAAAAATGATACATGTGACTTTTAAAACAACAACAACTCATTTTTTTGTCAAAAACCACACACAGCTACCTAAAACAAAACCAAACAAAATAATTTAACTGGACTATTTTCAACTCTGCCAATCTGTAGGTGGCAGTCTTGTTAAAGTGACAGTTTTACCCACTCAGGGTCCTCCTTCAACATAAGAAATAAGCAATGTCATTAACAACTACTGTTATTCAGCTTTCAAATAACACATTTTTGTGTTTAGAAAGGAAAGTGATTGAAAACAATTAGCATATGTGTTCCATAAACCTCAGGTACCTGAAGACATCATGCTGCTCAAAGCTGATTCAGTCAATGCCGAAGCATAACTGAAACCAGACATTTCAGTAAAATGTAACATGCTAGAAAAATTAAACCTGATGCTAACTGCCAATGAAATTATGACCTCTGATTGCTGTTGAGCCACACACCAACACAGCCCGAGGCCAGTGGACTGAAGAGCCCAGACTAAAAATCTGTTACTGGTTTGCTATTTATTTGAGAGATGTGAGTTTTCTACTCTCTCTCTCTCACCCACTTACTCTCTCGCTGAGGAAAAGGAAGAAAAGACTTTAAAACTTAAATAAAATAATCACACTATGCTGTCATTAAAAAAAAAGAGAATGTCTTGCTATTACTACATATACATACTAGATTATTAGATTTATCCATTTATTATAGAACATTGCTAGTTTGAACAGATCTGAATTTTGAATCACAAGAAGAATGTAAACTGGGAAAAACAAAACAAACAAACAAACAAAAAACAAACTCAATGCCAGCAAGCTTCCCATAGGGTTTCCAAGACTTCAAATCTTTATGGAAGCCAACTGAAACTGAAACATCTTTCTCCCGGTGAAACTGCTGGTGCATTCACATGAGTCTTTTGGTTAGCAGTCAAGCACTTTAACCTCTACACAAGTAGTCCTTTAAGATGTTTCAATAGGAGGTTCTAATTGTGGATAAAGCTCTACTGGAAGGAGTTAACATTGATGCACCTGTTTGCATATATAAACACTCATACAGAATACTCCCTGTTGTATCGTCAGCCCCTAGCAAAGTTGTGAGAAAAGTAGACACTCCATAAATGCTTGTTGAATGGATTATTGTTGTTGTTAAGTGCTGTCTACTCAATTCAAACAGGGTTTCTGAGGAGTAGCTGGTGGGTTAATGCGCCAGACTATAAAGCCATTTGAACTGCAAGGTTTCTGGTTCAAGCTCACCAGCTGCTCCTTGGAAACCCTATACAGGGTCACTATGGGCCGGAACTGACTCGATGGCACTTAATAACAACAACAATAAGGATATAGAGTCCAGGTGTAGCACTGTGGGTTAATGTGCTGGACTGCAAAGTTGGTTTGAACTGCAAGGTCGGAGGTTCAAGCTCACCATGTGCTCCTTGGAAACTCCATACAGGTCACTATGAGTCGGAACTGACTCAACAACACTTAACTACAACAACAACATGGAGCTAAGCAAGGTTTCCAGTCCCAAATCAAAGAACACATACTTTATTATTTCCATCATTATTCATCTCCTTAAAGTCAGACTTCAAATACCCAGGCACCTTTATTATATTGCATTTATTTCCTTTGAAATTTCAGTTAACAACAATTTTAAACAATAGTTTAAAAGAGTCTAAGCAAGCACCTTGTATTTTAAATGATTCTTGTAATGAAAGCTCTAGTCATATTTCAGACATAGTTAACTCTACAAAATCTAGTCTATCCTTATCCCACCTAATATTTAACTTGGTAAGAAAGATGACATATATAAAGCACTACAGTAATAGAATACGTTTTTATGTTGTCGGTTTCTTATGAACAAATTCTTTTCTCTCCATGGATTTGTAAGAAGGGAGCAGGAGATAGAAGTAGAAAGAAACTCAAACCAGCTGTTCCTTAACAGAATTAAAATTGTGACCCCCCAACCTCTTTTCGAAAGCATCTACTTTCCAGCCAACCCTCTCCCAGCAAGCAGCAAGTTCCAAGAAGGAAAAGACTTTGACCTTTAACCCTCTCCTCCTCTCCTGAGGTCCAGAACCTCAGATAGGAAAAAAGGAAAAGCAAGTTAAGGAGGGTGCACATGCCAACTGTGAACTGAATATTTTAAAAACAGGTCATTATTGGAAAACATTGTTGGGAGCTTCACAGTCATTTATTTAATCATGAATCTCAGAGGAGTGATAGCTGTTTGTGTTTTTAATAATTAATTCTAATTTAAAAGTTATTAAGCCATAAGTAGAAATGTTGTCATGTATTTAAGCTGAAAAACAATTTTTAAGTTACTGGTAAACTGCTATTTTTTCAGTGTTGTTAGGTCATGTGTGTTAAGTGCTGACCAAACAACCTGGTTCCTACTCATTATGATCTTGTATAGTGTTTCTGAGACTTTTTAAAAATCTTTGTGGGAGCAGAAAGCCTCACTGTTCTCCCACAGAGTGGTTGGTAGGCTTGAACCTTCAACCTTGTGGTTCAGAGTCAGGTGCTTATCCTACAGATTTTGCTTTTGTTGTTGTTTGCAGCAACTCTGTACCTAAAAGAAATGGTCGATACATCACCATTTTAATAGGTAGCATATGATCAAGAAACAATGGTACTGAAGGAGGAAGAAGTTCAAGCTTCACTGAAGTCATAGGTAAAAAATGACGATCCAGGGAACTGACAGAACACAAGTCAAAATGTTTCCACAAACTGATGCAGCACTGGAGACACTCACTTGTCTATGTCAAGATGTTGTTAAGTGCATTTGAGTCAGTTCTGAGTCTTAGCGACTCTGTATAAGGTTTCCAAGGAGCAGCTGGTGAGTTTGAACAGCCAATGTGGCGGTTTAATTGTGTGTGTTGAAACCAACCATGTGATCTAGTGCTTATCCTATAACATTAATTGTTGTAGTTACTGTTGTTGTTAAGTGCTGTGGAGTCGGTTCTGACTCATAGCGACCCTGTAACAAGGTTTGCCAAGGAGTGTCTAGTGTGTTTGAACTGCTGACCTTGCCGTTAGCATACCAGTGCTTATCCTATGCTGCCACACCAGGATTAGTGTACCAAAACAAAAGAAGATGAAAAAAAGCCACGGTGTCATGATGGAGAAATTTTCTCTCTGGAGAGAAAGAACAGAGAGAAAGAGGGAGTTGGGAAACTTGAAGATGAAAAGATGGGTTACAAAGCATTTACTCAATGAATCAAAACTGACCTAAAATGACACGGTTAAGTCTAGTTGTGTGAACAATTCTCTGGAAAAAGCAAGGTATTAAAACACGTCTCTTAGTCCAGTTTAGCGGTAAACCTCCCCAGCTGGTGACAAAGGCAGTTATCTTGTAATGACTGTTAATGACTCCGTTTCAGGCATTGCTCCATGGCAGCCTGTATTTGTTTTCTCCTGTTCCTCTCCTTGAAGACTTGGTTCCCAAGCAGAGGCCCTCTTTTGATGAATTGTTCAAGAGCTTGGTTAGTTCTAATTGTCAACAGCTTTAAGCTTTTACCTGGAGACACCAAATTCACTTCATAGTAATTTGATTAAAGTTTGGTTTGGGAACAGCAAAGAAATCCTTGTTTTTTCTGTCTCTCTCGCTCACACACAAATGGACTAATTTTATGAGACTAGATTTTTAAAAACCAAGAACACTTTTTAAAGGATCTAGCTAGTACTTTCAGGAATTTTTAAAAAAAATCATTAAATGTTTATATAAAGTGGGTTTACAGGTTTGAAAGAACACAGTAGAGAAATACTGTATTACACCAACTTCAAGTACCTTAACAACAGCAACAAGTACCTAAAACAGGCATGGCTAAATCCATACTAAAATGTCATGAACTATCAGTCTTCGTAGAAATTTACAAATAATAGTATAGTGTTGGGAAAGAGGTAAGGCTTTTTAAATTTCTTTTTTTTTTCATGAGAAACTATAACATTACCAATGAATGCTGACGTGTTACAAGATCTTATCCCAAAAGAATGGCAAATATTAAGATACAGTCATTCAGAGCTGTGTAATGTGTTAACTTGCTCTGTGAATTCATTCTCCAGTTAGAAACTACAGTTACCTACATTCAGATATTCTGAAACTCAGGTGGTTTTGCAGGGTAAACTCCCCATTTTCTCACTGTTCTTTGTTTGCCATCTTAAGAAGCCTGATTTTAGGTTTTTATTTACGCTTTTTGGTCTTGGTTTTTTTTTTGTTTGTTTGTTTCTAAATTTCCTTTAAAAGCAGAAGCTCCGATACTTGGGGGAGGGGAGCTACTCTTGATTTAAGAGGTCTGGGCTTTAAAAGTGGCTTCAGACCCATTAAAGCAATAACAGCTAACAAAATTTAAAACCCCATGGAAAAGAACTAAAGACACAGAAGACAAGAATGGAAGCTTAATATACCTCCAGGTGCCAAAATATATTCCTAAAAACCCTAATTCGGTGCTTAATACACAGAGTGCAGCACATATAGTTCCATGAGAAAATAAATTTTGATTACAAAAGCAGATGAATGTGCTGAAAATGTGTTTTTAGTATAAACATCCTAAATGTATGCCATAGGGTTTTCTTGTTTGTTTATTTTTAAGGAGTTGAAATAATTACTGAATTCAAGTTTTGGGACAACATGCTGTTTCTAGGGGCCATAAACTAAACAGCTAGTTTAGTGTATTTTACGCATTGCCTGTCTCTACTACTTTTGGGGGTTTTTTACCTGGGGCTGCATAGGGGCAGAGGTAGGGATTCCAAGGATGCCTGACAGATTTTGCACTTAAACCCATCTGAGCTGGCTAACTGTTGACTCAGCTTAGGAAGCTGGTCATTTATTCATTCAGATATCAGATTACTTATTAAGAGTCTACTATGTTCTAATCCCAAGGAGCTCTGGTAGCGTAGTGGTTATGAATCGGGCTGCTAATCTCAAGGTCAGCAGTTCGAAACTACCAGCAGTTCTGCAGGAGAATGATGAGGATTTCTGCTCCCATAAAGATTTACAGCC